CAAGTCCTAGGTGGGGGACTGGGTACTTGGACTGTGAAGGTACAGAAGAGTAGCTTTAACATGTTATCATTTGTGTAGAGAGAGGAAACATGTCTGTGTGTGTGTGTGTGTCTGTGTGTGTGTGTGTAAGTACTATGATAATATACATAAAACATGTCTGCAAGGATTTGTAAAAAACTCAGGAGAGAGCACAGGTGGCTGGGAGTTACTTCCCTTCTGTACCTTCTGAGTTTTGGACTATGCGAATGTATCATCCTTTCAAAAAGTGAACAAAAGATTCATTTCCCCCTTCCTGTCTGTGCCCCCACCCCCAGCAGGAAAAAAAAATGGACTTAGAGGATCAGATGGGCCTAGGTGTTCAAATCCCAGCTCTGTCTAAGTGATCTTAGGCAACCACCTAACCTCTAATGCTCCATGTTTTCCATCTACACAATAGAGGTACTGGTAGTAACTGCCTCACATGATGGCTGTGAGGTTAATGGGATTCTTACCATGCTACCTGGTGATGCACGCAGTAAAGGTTCCAACAGCAGTAGTAATAACAGGAATAACAATAGAATATGATATGATCTCTCTGGGCCTCGGTTCGCCAGCTATAATTTGATCTCTTTGCCTGTCCCTTCTAACTTTACTGAGTTCTGTTAAAATCCAGGCCATGTGCCTTGATTTTTACTGACCAAGTTGTGTATTAAGTCCAGCCCTAGCCCTTTTAAGGGGCACTGTGTGGAATGGCCCAGGCTCTCCAGATTGAAGCTTCTCCCTCTTCACCCTCCAGCCCTCGAGCCACTGTGAAGCAGTCCTTGGGCAGCAGTTACAGCAGTTTCTACAGGAGCGGGAACTGCTAAAAGCACAGGTGGCAGAGGTAAGACTTTGCAGAGGGAGGGATGTGGAAGGAAGATGACCCCAGGTGGCCAGGAGCAGGTGAGGACCAGTGACAGCCCTTCCTAACTCCTGGGTCCATTCTTGCAGGTGACGGAGTGTCTTAAGAAAGCTCAGCTAGAAAGAGACGCATACGCTCAACAACTCAAAACAGAGAGGGCGCAGTGGCAGCAGCAAATGCTGAAAATGGCAGGAGAAGTGAGAGCTGACCCTTCAGCCCCCCACCTTAGATGGCTCACTGGCATCTGTAAAAAGAATAGTCCAGCCAGGGGTGGTCACGGAACTGGGCTTTATGGAGCTGGGGGCGGAGAGGGAGATGGTATCCTGTCCAGCCACCAGCCCCTGTCTCCAGGGCCCTTTCCTCGTGTGCTTTGGGCAGATTGAAATATTCAAAATGGAGAAAAGGCAGGATGCAATTAAAATCGAGGAGCTGAAAGGTTGCCTTGCCCACCTACAAAACCATCTGGGTAAGATGGGGCTGGTGTGACCCAGGGGCAGGACTGGCATCAGAGGGCTGTGGGGGTGGCTTAGAGTGTCCCAGGGAGGTGGGTGGCTGGAAGGGCTTTGAGGCAGAGGGAAAGAGGTCTGTGCCAGGAGACGGCAAGTCTTATAATCTCCATGAGCCTCAGTGTCCCCATCAGCAAAGAAGGAGGAGTGCCTGTTGTCAGCCGCCCACAGTGCTCTCTATCTGAAAGGGGCTTGGAAGGCTGGCTGCCATTTGGGCGTGAGAAATCATTAGCAGTGAGGCCAGGTTTGGGGAGCCTGAGAGGAGCTGTGCACCCAGAAGAGTGTTTTTGTTTTGTTTTGTTTTTTGTTTATTGTTTTGAGAATCCAAAGGCTCTTATTGTCTGCTTCCTTTCTCAGCTGAACCCCCAATTTCAAGGCACCCAGCAGGGCCCTGTGACTTGAAGAAAAACCTAAAAACTGAAATCAAGTACCTGAGAGACGAGCTACAGGAACAGGACAGACTGCAGGGGGTGAAAACGAGGCTCCGGGAGCAGGAGGTGAGGCTGAGAGAACAGGAGGAGAGGCTTCTTGAGCAGGAGGAGCTCCAGGAGCAGGAGGAGGAGCTGATGTGCTGCCCACCTGGGACGCTGCCCACCTCCTCAGCCCTCCAGGCCTTTGTTTTCCCACCTGTAAAATGGGGGAGTGTATGAAATGGTGCTTCTAAAGGCAGCTGTGAGCCAGAGCCCTGCTCTGATGGCTGTGGGAGAAAGGAGACAATTTTTCTAACCTCCACCCTTCCCGGTGCCATGGGAGGCAGACACCAAGTTCTGGGGTCTCCAGCTGCAGTGGGTGGCCACTGATTGCTTCTCTCTGTCCAGCAGAATGAGAACAGGAGCGCACTGCATTTGGAGCAGGAAGGAAAGAAGCTGCAGGAGAAGCTTGGCGAACAGGAGACGGTAACCTCCGCCCAATCCAGGAGGGCTGGGAGGCAGGCAATGGCCTCTGGGGAGGGGAGGTACAAGGCCAAAGGCAGCTCCACCCTGGGGCAGGTGACCCCACACACTCCAGGGCAGTCCTGTGACCGTTTCTTGCTTCCTGCCCTCTGACTTTTAGAGGTGGGTAGCCCTGGGCTCCTCCCAGGTCTGGACATCATCATCCCAGCTAGAGGCATGGAGTCCCCCCCCGTCACAGGGCAAGAGACAGTGGTGTGAGAGGCTCTTTATGCTGGGTGCGGTGGCTCATGCCTGTAATCCCAGCACTTTGGGAGGCTGAGGCAGAAGTTTGAGACCAGCCTGGCCAACATGGCGAAGGCTCACCTCTACTAAAATTACAGCAACAATCACAGCAACAAAGCTGGGCGTGGTGGCGAACACCAGTAATCCCAGCTACTCAGGGGGCTGAGGCATGAGCTTTACTTGAGCCTGGGAGCTGGAGGTTGTGGTGACCTGAGTTTGCACCACGACTCTCCAGCCTGGGCCACAGAGTGACACTCTGTCTCAAAACAAATCAAAACAAAGCAAAACAAAATTAACGTCTCCTTAGATCGAAACTGAATTTTGGCCTCGGTTCCACTGGTCACCATTGGACTACTTTGCCTCTCTAGTCTCTGTTTCTTTAACTTCCAAAGGAAGTTAGCATTTTCCTTGCGTGGGTGCTGAGGATT